AGAGATTCATTTTAATTCATTTTTATCCGATAACAATCAAATGTTGGCAATTTACGATTAATAATATAATTTATATTATAATAAACGGATATAATAGTTAATTGTAATAATTATTCTGCTGTGAAAAGATAAGATTTTGAAAAAAAGAAATACAATTATACGAATGTATTATACTTAAAAGTAACAGGATGTTATAAAGGGTTAACGCGTTACACTTTAATTCAAATACGTGAAGCGTTAATTAATAATAACATTACATACGAATTCACATATGACTGTATTCGCGTAAATGAATGGACCTCTAATTCGACGGCGTAACCTTTAAATTTCCGTTTTAGTTATCGTCTTCATAGTTACCGTCACACGAACGGTTTATTATTCTAAATTAGAGACAACGAACGAGAACAAAATGGCATTTTAACCCTTCATGGTTAACGCATGTTTCATCGCATAATGGATAGATTATTCTTGGACGTCACTGAAATCGGACTTTTGGATGTTGAAATTAATTGTATTGATGGATCTAAATCGAATCGATAATTTAAAGTTTAAAAAAAGAAATCTGATAGATCGTGTTAAATGTAACACAAAAATATAGACACACATAAAATTGTACACATTTTTCTTCAATATATCTAAATTAATTTTGTTCATTAATTAACATTGTACATCAATTACAAACATCAATTTTGATTAAATTCAACCATCCTTCTTTTAATGATATCTCTTCATATTCGTATATATAACAAATATATATATATATATATATATATATATATTTAATAAATTATAAATTATTTCATATATGTTTTCTGTAATGAAACTTAATGAAATATAAAAAGTATCACGTTTTAATTGACATTTCAATAATGAATATATTATAAATTATATCGAATATTAGGTGTGTGTGTGTGTGTGTGTGTGTGTGTGTTCGTGTATTATCATGAAAAGGATCGAATACTTTGGGTCACCGAAATATGACCCAAGCGTAGATGATAATATTAAAGTCGCACCATCGGGGAAACGAACTCTCGGATTTTCGGGCTAGAATCTCGACTAACGCGATACGAAAAGCTTTAAAACGAATATCAGTAGTTACCAGAATGAGGATTATGTTCAACGAACTTACAACTTTCTCGCATGCACGTAGAATATTACAGCGACTATAGAGAAGTAGTATATAGAAGTTTTCTTCAGACTTGAAATTATCTGTCGAAAACGACATCGACGTCTTAGCTTACTTTCATACAAGAAGAATTTTCTTACGTATATCGCTAGCCCGCAGCAGGAACATCCACCTAACTAGAAGGAATTTCAACTTTAACCTTCCTAACACCGAAATATGTTGCTAACAATGAACCAACTTACACGCGATAATCTCTTTGTTCAAAAATTATTATCATTCTTTTGTAATATTATTATTAATTCATTTAATCATTAACAAATAAATTAAATGCATCGCGTTATTTATTTCCATGAAAAAAAAAAAAAGATAAATACTAGGGTAAGTCAACACGTATCCCAAACGTAATGATTTTCTTTATGATGTTGTTTGTAACGTCAAATATTCGCAACGCATTAGTATTAGTGGTTTTCCTCTTATTACGATTGTACAAATTTGTACGCGTTAATGTTAGTTAAATTTCGTTTATCGCGTGACGTTAACAATAGCCATTCTGTTTTGTGTATTTGCAACCTTTGAAGAATGCTAACCTGTATATTTGAAAAATAATTCAAAGTTTTATCGTGAATCGTGAAAACTAATACAACAAATTATATTATCATTTTTTAACTGTTGATAATAATTGATTCACCTATCTTTATTATAAACGGAGAAAGATAACAATTAAAATGAAATAAAAATGACGATTCTAGTATCATTTATAAATACGATTTTCTCAATGAAGTTGACAAATAACTCGTTTAATCTGATATTGAGAAAGATCGATGCCAGTTTCGTTATATTCGAACTATTACACTTGTGCACGTCACGAGGAGAATATTTTTGTTGGTTGCATGGACCATCCATCCCCTTGAGGCAAGAGCGAGGGATTGAAGGGAAGGAGAAAGAGGAGGACTACGAGTAAACGTATCACAGTTGGATGGATAAAGTCGGTCAAATCGAATCATGTATCACTGAAACATCGAGATTCATTCGAATAATTTTACGAACAGCGAATAAGAGAGAGAAAGATATATAAATGCGTACATCTATGTATGTTATACATATATATATATATAGAAAAAGAGAAAGATAGAAAGAGAATACACGAGCAAGAAAAACTATGGTCGTTCGATTTTCTGCTAGTGCTACTGGCGTTGGTGCTATTGGCGCTTCTACTACTGGGTAAAAGTCGAACGTTCGATTTAATCGGCGTAATTGCAATTATTCGGCCGAGTCGTTTGGTGGGAATATAATTCTCTTCACGGTTGTACCGGTCATTTAATTAAACATAGGTACATGCTTGTAAATCGTTGATACAAAAAGAAAAGGGATATACTAGTAAGCTAATAATACTTTAATCATTTTTACTTATTATGTTAGAAATTAATAATTAAAAAGGTATGACAAATAAATAAGTAGAACAATTATCTTTCGTTTAATGACAATCGAAACAAAAATCCTAGCTTCTACTCAGTGATAGAAAGGGAAGGGAAGGGAAAGGGAAAAAACGAGGGTGAGGGTGGAAGAGGATCTGTCTCGACGCGATAAAAAGGTCCCACCGAGACATACCCTTGTGCTCTCATTTGCAAGCAAATTCCGAGGGTTCCCTTTCCCTATCCTATACCCTCTCACTACTATCTCTCTTTCACTCTCTCTCTCCCTCTCTCTCTCTCTCTCTCTTATATGTTTTGCAAGTGATACAATCCACCCTCAGGAACATGCACACAAAATCATTGGGAAAACCTACTGCGCCGTTGAAACGGCGTTATCCGCCTAGACACGCTTCGATGCTAACCTGCCACGAATAGCTTCGAAAGCGTATTTTTGAAATCGTTGGCTTATCAGATAGCGAGTATACTCCAACCCGTTCGTCGATACGATACAATCCGGCGAAATTTTTCAACGAGAAAATTTCTATCACTCTTGTTGCATGTGTTTTATCCTACTTTGTTTTATCCATCTCTCTCTCTCTCTCTCTCTTCTTCTTCTCTTTTAAATTCGTTTTATCTTTTTTTTCCCCGAAACACTCGTCAAGAATATTTCAATAGTGTTTTGCACATTATTAACAAATTATATCTTTCCGATTGAACATAAATTCAGAATAATATCGTTACTTTACTTCCATCCTCGTATGGATTATCTTTATCTCTATTTTCTCTGATGCTTTCTTTAAAAATAGAATAATTTAATAAGGCAAATATAAATAAATAAATAAATATATATGTATGTATATAAATGAAAGGTAATCGTTATACGCATTTAATTAATTAATGCTGACTCAGAGAGGAAATAAATTATCCAAGCGAGATGAAAATGTCCTTATAATAATCGCTTTTACGTGCTTTTCCGTCTACTTTCCGGAAAATTTTATACCAGGTAAAAAGAAAAGAGCCACGCCTTGTTAAACGTAATAGTTTTCTGAGAAAATGCTTCCAAAAGAAACCCTTATGTAGCATAACGTCTTTGTGAAAACGGTTTATAACACAGCCGAAGTTTCGCAGCTCTCGTCAGATGTACGTGGGAAGAACTTTTTTTTCTTTTCACCGATTATATACGCTTTTCGAAATAGAGAAAGAGAAATAAAGGACAATAGAAATAAAATAAAATAGAAAATAAAAATAAATGTATATGTGTGTGTGTGTGTGTGTGCACACGTGTATGTAGTGGGTAAGACAAAATAATGATATAACATAATATTTCTATTATTTAATTTAATCCTTTTATATATTTACTATGCTTTTAATAAACAAAAAATAAATTAAATTAAAATTTGATAGACGTTTAATCAAAAAAGAATAGAAAATCTCTCGAAATAAATATTATGTATAATGCATGAAAGATTTTATAATATGAAACGATGGAAAATATAAGGAGATTGTTTAATCATTATTCCCATATTGAAAATTTGAACGAGAAGAAAAACTTTTGAATAGAAAACAGTTGAATATAACCGGTCAAAAAATTCGAGAGCGTTCTCTCGCTAAGATATAAACATGCGAAAATGTGCAAACACCGTCCCGTTGCATCGCGTTTTTATTTTTTTATTTTTTTTTTTTTTTTTTTATATAAAACACATATACCACACCTATACATAGAACGTTCAAAAAGAGATACATACATATACTACGTATAAAATCAAATGAATTTGGGCAGCGTGAAAAGTTACTACATTTTTTATTTCGTTGTTTTCAAGGAAAAAATACACACGCATATTCGCTCAAATATACATACACGTACGCAAAGTGTAACACATATATAAGAACGCATAGAAAACGTTATGATTGAAATTTAATCGCGAAATGATGACGATAGCGATATTCCAACGAATAGAATCTCTAATCCAAATTTTTGTGATCGTGGGAAGAGCTTTCACACAATGCTCGTGTCTATACGTATACATTTACTCGCTTGTATTTCCCAAAGAAATTTTCCTCTCTTTTTCCAACTTTCCGAATTTTTGTTTTACCCCTCATTGACAAACGCGATAAAATATCGTAATTCGAGTGAACGTACAATTATTATTCGACTCTTTACAATTGTATCATCGACACGATTTCAACGTTCAAATGTCGACAAACTATTCGCTAACCAAAATTTCATTTTCCAATGTAAAATTTGTATATTCACGTTTTCGCATAATATGTGAAAAGCTCTTCAAAGAAAATCAACTAAAATTTGTATAAGTGATAATATGTAAACGAGTAAGTACTTTCTCGTCGTCGTTTTCTCTCGATTTGGCGCGTTTTCGTTTACACGAGGAAACAAAAATTTACAACAACACAAATATTATAGCAAATCGGATTTTTAGGAAATAAAAAAAAACAACTCTCAATACCTTTTACGATAGGGGTGATGCATAAGGCGAAGAAAATGAGAATCCTCGTCGTTGGCATGATGTCCAGCTCGTTGAATTTCATATGTCCAAAGGTGATGGTAAAATAAAACACTTATAGGAATCACATCGACAACGTTAACACACAAAATTCCTTTTGATAAGTAAACCACCGACGTTTTGATTTTGTATTCTTTTCTAGTACGACGAACTTGAATTTTTGTTTGTAAATAAAAAATATCTTGCCTTTCGAAAAGACAAAAAGAACAACAACAACAACAACAACAGACTTGAGTCACGTCACGTTGCACACGGCACAGAACGAAAAATAACACTGTTTTGATTTATTATCACAATCGTTGAATATAATTGCAAGTAATAAAAAAACAAATAGAGAATTTATAGTCTTATTAAAACACACACTATCGATCGATCTTTGTTTAATAATTGATTGGATATAAAAAAAAAAAGAGAGAAGAAAAACTTATAAATATGCACTGACAAATATTTTCTTTTTGACAGCTATCAACACAAGGAACATTACGTAACCACGAATAATATAAATAAAATGATAATAATATTAATTAATGACGGTAATGAAATTGAAAGAAAAAATTGTTATTTTTCCGTTCTCGTGACCGTTCTTTTCTCGACGACAGTTCTTGACGGCTGCCAATGTCCAACTGCCAACCAAATTCAAGATACACCTCGGTCTGCTAGTTTCCCCCGATCCACTTTTATGGGCGTCTTTGCCACGCTCGTTTCTTTCTCATAGACGACACAGTTTTACACGACCGATGAATCTTTTATTATGATCACTAAAAACTTTATTAGAACAATAACAACAAAATATCCTATGAATATTTAATCCTTTTGAACGTTCGAAGACAACGAAGTTAACTTTTGCAAATAAACTGATATGGTATGGACCTTCTCCGACCAATAGGAAAATGCCGTTTGCTTGATTTTCAAAACACCTCTTTTCTCGCTCCAAAAAACTTGTTGCAACTAAAAATCGGTAGTAAAACCGACGACAAATTTTCTCTTCCCTTTTTTTCAACACTCACGAAATATGTTAAGTATCTTGTCGCTATGCGATGCTTTTTTTACGATCGATGAAAGGTTTTTTTTAAAAAAAAAAGGTATCCAAGAAACGAAACAGGAAGACCTTTTTATTCACTCACTTTTTCAAAAGATGTATTATTCTTTTTTCTGTTCTTACGATTGCAAAATTATCCGATGACGATTGTCTCACGTGGGTCCACGAACGATGAGCGAATAAAACGATATCAAAATAAAACTGACACTGCACGAAATAAACGATCTTTTTATCAAACTAATTGAATTATTAATTTTAAAACGAATCACCAATCGCGATACGTGTCACGTTTACGATATCCGTCCTCGCGAAAATGTCCACTAATCTATAATTAATTAAAGAAATCCATTGGATACTACACGAAAACGTTCGAACGCACAATTTTATCCATCGAAAATGTGGATGATCCCAGACTTCATTCAAAATTCCGTTCTTCTTGTTTCTTCTGTCGGAGAACACAGAATTGTCGTTTCAGAAACGACAAGTGGGATATATCACGAATTGGCACGCCTTGTCTCGAATCCTTCGAACCATAGACTTTGACATCACGTCAAGAAATTCCAAAGTCTCCGTTCGATAAAACTATATTTTCTGGATACATAGACCACTCCTTTAAACGTTTATTTTATTATTTCCTTCTTCCTTGATTCCTTTTGATCACTATCAGCGTTGGTTTCCAATGAAATTTCCGCGCTTTCTCACTCACTTTCTTTCTCTCTCTCTCTCTCTCTTTCTCTGTGTGTTTATCAAATTGCACCAAATCGTAAAATGATGTAACAAGTCAATACGAGCGTATACGAGATGACAGGTGATAAAGTACACGAGACAATAAGGTAAAAATAGACAGATTGATAAATAATAATAATAATAATAATAGAATAAAATAGATAACCCTTTTTAGGTAAGAATCGTAGGGATTGGACTTTCCGTAAGGAGACGCAAGGAAACACGTATAAGCCGCCGCTCTCTTACGCGGGAGTGTGAGCACTGGCGGTACTCACAAGAGAAGGGAAGGAGGCCTCTGCCCCCGCAGAGATCGACGGAGATTCCCGAGTTCGTCCGAGCACGACCGAGCGAAGGCTACGAGCACGGAACAGCATCCCACCGACTGCGGTTATATCAACCCCCAGGAGCGTTTCTCGCTTCGTCTTCGTGTCTGCGCACGCATCGTCGACCACGACCAAGACCAAGACCAAGACCAGACTGACCAAAGGATCAAAGTCAGAATAATCATTTACAAAAGATTATAACAACAACAAAATCGATCATATCCCAACAATTCATTTTGTTTCTTTTATTTCTTTCATTATCCCTTTATCTTTCTCCCACGTTAACCCAACACCTAAAAATGTTTTTTTCTCTCTCTCTCTCTCTCTCTCTCTATTTTTATATATATATAATCTCTCTCTCACTCACTCTCTCTCTCTCTCTCTCTTTTAATTCGCTAGAATAATAGCTTTGTTCTCCCAATAATCGCTACAAAGGAAATAAATCGTAGCTTTCTCTACGTGCATTCATCTTTAACGTCCTCTATCGATACGTCGATAACGATAAATTGGATTTACGCTTTATAACTGACTTTTTAACTCTCTCTCTCTCTGTGACTTCCAAGTAGTTTTTTTGTTTGTTTTAATCTAAACAATAAACTCATTTCTCGAATGAAAACTTCATCGTGATTTCAATTTTTGATCGGGTGGCTTTGTTACATACTCGCTCGCCAGAAGCGATATCGTAAGCTTTCGGATGATTTTGTTTAGTTTCTCTTTTTTTCCACTTTTCTCTAGTTCTCTCACTATTCTACTAGTTCTTTACATCGTTTTAACTGGATCCTAATAAAAACGAACGAAATGAGACGTCGACTCTGGGGAGTAGTAGTTTCTAGTATGTTGTAAACGCCAGCACGTCTTTCGTAGCTAATTAGATGTGTTTCTTCCTCCCCCTTTCTCCTCCTCCTCCTTGTACTCCTACTCTTCCATTTTCTATCCTCATCCCCCCCCCGGTATCTCCCACCTCCCACAGAGTTCCCTCCTTCCCTTCCTAGCTTTTTCAAAGGATGTAGTAAAACAACCGCTTTATTTTTAAGTCTACCGGTAATATCTCAGAAGAAAACTTAGCTCGTGAATTATCGTAGATCCTGGTACTTTTTATCCTTATTATACCTTGGTATTATACGTATGTATATGTATATATATATATTGTATACTATACTTTTATATACATAGATGTTTCCTCTCGCAATTCATGCCGATGTTTCCTTTCCACCTAGGTTTTCATGCTAGTTTTTGAAGACTGGGAAACACGATACACACGTTCCACTGAATGATACTTCGCTTTTTCGTTACCCCTTAGGCGTCTCTTACGGATACGTGAGTTTTACATCAGCCCTTACCGAATTTACGAAGCAAACTTGGACGTTCGAAAGGGCAACCTCCGGTCGAGTTAAAAAGAAATTCAAAAAAAGACGGAAAGATTGAAAGAGTAAGAGAAAGAGAGAGAGAGAGAGAGAGAAAACGAAAGGATTGACATCATAAAACACGATGTGGTAAGAACGGCGCCACGATTTCGAATTCGAGCCCCGATTTTATCTTTGCAGTCGATCTCTCGCGAAACGTCGACGACCGATCTATTTTGTAAGCGAGGCACGCGAAAAGACGTACGAGAATAAAAAAGTTAAAGAAAAATAGAGAGAGAGAGAGAGAAAGAAAAAGATAACGTTACGTCGTCCGTCGTTTCGGAATGAAATTTTTGCAACGATTCGCGATAACGAGATACTTTGGTATCCTGCTAGATTTCTTCGTGACGAGGAAAACTTTGAAAGGAGCGATTTTATTACGAACTCTGTCTCCCTTTCTCTCCCTTCGTCAGTTGTCTCACAGTTTCGCGTGAGATTTGGTCATACGATGATCTTGTTTTGCAAAGACTTTCAGTACCCATAATAAGATCGGGTTAGAAATCGAGAACTCGGATATGAAATATCTGGAACGCAATACTTATTTCAACCTTCTTCCCGCTTTCATCTCCTATCCGTACAGTCGATTCTTTTCTATTAGTTTTCGCTTGTTTTTATTTTCTCCACTTTTTTGTCTTTTCCTATTCTCCAAACTATCCACCCCGAGCTATTTTAACGCATCCCCCCCCCGTCTACCTCTTTCTCGAATCCCGTTAGGTTATTTCGAAACTTCTACCAATGGAATTTCGGCTTTTGCTGAATATCGTAGAAGACTTTTCTCCACCTCCTATTCTGGTATAGAGAAAAGGATAAAACCGAGACGAGGAAAAGCTAGCTTTGTTGTCTTCTCCCTTATTTCTCGACTTCCCTTAGCGATTTGAATTTTTCGAGATTCTCCGTTTCATTACGGGAATGAACTCACCGACGAAAACGTGACCGAGATTCGCTTTGGAGACGATATTTTTCCCGCTGACTACCACCCGACCGTGCGTTCTCGCATTGATCGATAGTCCGCGTTACGCGCGGCGTCCTTTTTTTCTTTTTTTTTTTTTTAACTCTCTCTCTCTCTCACACACATACTCTTTTTCGTCAGTTTTTGCCTATTTTCTTTTTTTTTTTCCTTTTTTTTTCCATAACGTTGTCGTCACTAGCCCCGTCGCGAATTCACGCTGATGCGTTATGTCGTCAAGATCTCAACGCGTTTTTCGTGATTTAAATTTTTCGAATCGAGTCTCGTTATCGTCATTCGATGAAATACGAAACCTGAGCGTAGAACAAATTTGACTATCTGTCGGATCGAAGGGTTATCTTATTCGCGAATCGATTATTACATATGTTCTCTGTAGTATTGTACGTCGATTAAAATGTACGTGTGGAATTTTTTTGAAAAGATTGCAGAATTTTTACGATCTCGATTAAAATTGTATACGAGATATAAAAAGTATATTAGGATATTTCTTTTCTCTTTCTATCTCGTATTGCAGATTATTTCAAAATGTCAAACAAATTCTTAACCTCTAGTTAAACTTATTTTTCATATTTTTTTGCGAAATAATGAAAAAAAAAAAATTAAAATTAATATTGAAATATTGATTAAATTTTTATTCATATAAATGATGCATTAAAAATTCTATAATATAATACGTTTAAAAAGAAAACGATAAATGGTACGATCAATTAGAAATTGTAAAATGAGAGATAGATAGGTGTTCTATTTTAAATAATATCTAGACGAGATTTCCATTCGATCTTCGCTCGAGTGAACAGCACGAATCTCTAGCGTCGACAGGACGATATCGTTATCTTATTACGACGAACGAGCTCGATTTTCTCACGTAAGCCAGGGTAGACAGGTAATTCAGTATAGGCAATAGTCTGAAAGGGTGAGCGAGAGAATATATGTATATGTATATAAGTATATGTAACACACTTACAGCGTGTATGAGTGTGCCTTTAAGAGAGGAGAGTGAGAAAGATGAAAGGTAGAGAGTGAGAGAGAGAGAGAGAGAGAGAGAGAGAGTACGAAGATATTCGAAGGCATGAAACGACTTCGGCCTTGACGCTATAATATCGATTCTCATCAGGGATGTGAACTCGCGATCGATACCCATAGAATCTCATTCAGGTTTTAACGTTTCAATCGAAATACGATCGGAATGAGGGGGGAGAGGGCCCCAACTACGAGTAGGGAGTCGAACGATCGTTGGTGGTTTATCGCGTTCGAAGGGGGAAAGGCGTAATGCAATATTCTACTAGGTGATCTGTTGTCAGGAAGCCTCGACGATGATTGTTTGCGGCATTGCGTCGTTGCCTGATGCTTTACCACGCGTGGGAATATACACGGATAATTAATAACCCATCACAGTCAGATCGATTGATTGCCAGATATGTGTATACGTGTCGACACCCTGAATTCAACTCGATTCGACTTTGCCATAATAAAACAGCCTACGTACGACATTATTTCTCCTTTTTTTTTCTCTCCCACTAAAAAAAAATACATTTTTTCTTTCTCTCTTTCTCTCTCTACCCGCCCTCCCTCCCTCCTCTTTCTCCTGAGATTAACGAGCTAATCTAAAGATGAAATTTCACGTGACGTTAATGGACGACGTGTCAACCTGTAACATCTCCCTACTTTCCAATACATACACATATAACCTCTCCCCTACGCTCTTTTCTATCTTTTATTTCATACGATCACGAATCGGAGAATTATTTTCTTTCGCTTGAGTTTAACGACCTCGATGGACAGTGACCTCCGAAAATGAAAAAGAGAAAGAGAGGAAGGATACTCGTTCGTTCACTCGTTCATTCGTTCGTTCGTTCGTTCGTTCGTTCGTTCGTTCGTTCGTTNCGTTCGTTCGTTCGTTCGTTCGTTCGTTCGTTCGTTGGTTCGTTCGTTCGTTCGTTAGTTCGTTAGTTCGATAAAGCGCATAAGTAAACAACGAGTAATAATTCTTCGAGAATAAATGATGCGTTTGGTTTACCTATTCGATCTCCTCTAACGTTATCGTAATGCACGAGATATACGCGCATATCTGACATATGTCGTTAAACTATGAAGCGCACCTGCGGCCAATGCACAATCACAACTTTCAAAGTACACTAAAACGAACTGACGAAATTTCCCGAGTGTACTTGGGCATAATAATTACGTTATTAATTATTTAAATCGACCTATGTAATACAAATTTGCAAATTGAAACGTATTTATATATATTTACAACAGCGTATATTATTCAATAGATAAAAAACAGAAAGAGAGAATGAAAAATACGATTGATACGATGATGACGAGATAAAAGTATGATCCTATGCAAGTAAATATATATATAGTATACGTGAAGAGTAACGTGAAAGCTGTTTAAATTTAAACGAAGCGATACTTGACGAGTTTACTTCCCTCCCACTCCTTTTCGTCAATCTCAGGGAAAAAAATATTAAAAAAAAAAAAATTGAAAGAGAGAGAGAGAGAGAGGTAAAAAGTATTCGAACGCGAAGCACGATCGATTTATGCGCGTCAATCATCTTTTGTTTTTATCCTATATTGCTGGTGGTGTAGAGAGATGGGAAAAGAAAAGTGGTAAAAAAACGTTTGCCAACGTGAATCGAACAC